CGAGTCACACACACATACACACAGAGTCACGCTCACATACACACAGAGTCACGCTCACATACACACAGAGTCACGCTCACATACACACAGAGTCACGCTCACATACACACAGAGTCACGCTCACATACACACAGAGTCACGCTCACATACACACAGAGTCACACACACATACACACAGAGTCACGCTCACATACACACAGAGTCACGCTCACATACACACAGAGTCACGCTCACATACACACAGAGTCACGCTCACATACACACAGAGTCACACACACATACACACAGAGTCACGCTCACATACACACAGAGTCACGCTCACATACACACAGAGTCACGCTCACATACACACAGAGTCACGCTCACATACACACAGAGTCACGCTCACATACACACAGAGTCACGCTCACATACACACAGAGTCACGCTCACATACACACAGAGTCACGCTCACACACGTGCACAAGCACGCCTGCGCTACCCGGTGCCAACGTGGCCATCTGTCCCGCCGGCCATCCACCAGCCAGCACGTAACCATCCCATCTAGTCTTAAGGCAAGTCCGTACCGAGCGCCCCAATGCGAATGATGACCCCCCCACACACACACACTGATCGGTCCCTACAAATACCAGCCCCGCCAATACACACATACATACACACATACATACACACATACATACATACACACATACATACACACATACATACACACTTACATACACACACATGCACACATACATACACACATACATACACACATACATACACACTTACATACACACTTACATACACACTTACATACACACACATGCACACACACATTGTGTCACCTGTGAGCCGATAGCGTCGTTGCTCTTCCTCGTCACGGTGAAGAAGTAAACTGTACGGAAGCCATCCGCCACGTTATTCACCACACCGATCATTAGAGACGCGGTGAAGCCGTAGGTTGATATGAACAACAGATCCCTGTCAACCAGCTGAAGCAGCGAAGATAAGGGATGGCAAGTGCAGTGAATACATTGCCATGTCCTCGCGGCTGCCGTGCATCATCAGGTGTGCATACATATATTCGTGTCTACACAGGCTTTGTTCAGGACCACCGTGTGTACGTATGTATGTATGATGTGTGGGACAGGGGGGTATATCTTCACCCGTGGCAGCTACCCGGCGAAACCCTGCCTTCCCGGTATTTCGGGGCACCCTCATCTAGTCACCCTAGTCAACTTCTCAGTGGATCGCTCAGGTTCCGCACCCACCACCAGCATCCAACGGAATCTGCCGGGTCGACAGCGGCGCAACTCCATTCCTGGTCGACTCGTAGGTTAACTTTATCCCAGGTCACCACCGTCCATCGACTAGGAGCGCTTTACCTTCCACCATCGGAAGTATTTTCGAGTTGACAGGTCTCGATCCCGGGATCTCCCGGTGGCAATGGTCCGTGCCTTACTAGTAGTGCCTAACCTAAGTATATGTGTATGTATGACTTAGATTACACTGTGGGCCGCGAGAGCCGGGGGCCGAAGCCGAAACGCAGCGCAAGGGTCGGGAGCACACAGCACAAGTCGGTTAGTCTTGTGTGCTCCCGACCCCGACTCAGACTGCCAACACTCTACGCAGCCACTCCGCAGCCCCTCCATCCGGGGATGGCGCTGCAGTGAAAACACCACGAAGGGCTCTCAGGTCCCGCTAGAGCGAGTCCACAAGTCTCAGCTAGGGCAAAGTCAAAGGCTCTCTGAAACAACCCCCCAAAACACCACCAACGAAAACGGGATTCGAAGGGAAAAAAACAAAAAAAATAAAAAGACGGTTAGGGCAGCCCAGGCAGGGGAGGGCTCCTGATACACCTAACAAGCCAACAAAAAAACCTCCAAGAGAGAAAGGCTAAGAGAGCTCGACACCACAAGACGTCTTACACAGCAGCCACCTTACAACAACAGACCCCCTCTACCTCTCCCTTCCTGGGCTGGTCCAAGGGAGATGTAGCCTGTAGTATGTATGTATGTATCACCTGCTGTATTCTCGCCCGGAGGTCCGCCCGCGTCATGCCAGGGTTGAGCAACTCGATCTGCGACATGGGACATACAGCCGGGAGCAATGACATCGACACATAACCATACGCACACGTAGCCATACACACACAACGATACACACACACGCACGTAGCCATAAATACATAGATACATAGATACATACATACATACATACATGCACACATTCACTCATTCACGCAGGCGCACCTTTCGAACTCCCCGTTCGCCCCCGCTGAGCTGCTCCAGCTCCGAAGCACTCAGCTGCAGGCCCGTACCGGGATCGATCCCGGACTTGTAGCACGACAGCCTGAAATTCTCGTACTCCTTCAGGCAATTGGATTTGAAATCCACCTCCATGCGGGCAAACAGGACCCTGTCGTACTCCGTGACCTGTAACAATGGCAGAGCAAAGCACGGGAGGAACGTAGGGCGGGCGTACAGACCGATTGTTTGGTTTGTGGGGATTTGGGCTTTTGGACGAGAACACCGCGGCCAGCGACCCGGCAAAAGCGTTTGGCACTTAGTGTTTGTTTCCTACGAACATATCCGCCCCCAGCTCGCCGAAACGACCCGTGCGATGGAGCCTTCCCCCGTAGCTCCTTTTCCCTGGCCAGAGCCAGACCCGGTCAGATACGTGTAACCTACACGCACACACACACACATACACATACACACACACATACACACAAACACACACAAACACACACGAACACACACACACACATACACATGTGCGTATGTGCACATGCCCAAGCTTTTCCGTGAGCACACATGCATACACATACTTAAGGGGCGGCAATCAATCAAACCCACCGGCAACATGTCCTCTGGGTATCCCGCCGCATCTGCCTTCTTTGAATACGTTTCCAAGAAGCCCAGCGCGTGTGTAAGGACCCCGTAAAAGGTGTTTTCTGTTCGTATGTCTGCTGTATTGCTGTCCATCGTTTCGTAGGAAGTCATGAGCGCCTTGATACTACTGTGGAAGGTCCCCGCCGTGTCTGGATATCGGTAGCTGACCTATTGGGTTGAGGGCGGGTGGGTTGGGGTTAAATCTGTGTGCATGTGTGTGTGTGTGTTCATGAACTTATCCACGGGAAGAAAGTGCTGAGGATGGCACACAAACAAATTTACCACAGCAATAATCTAGTCCAGCAAGGAATGCGTGTATGTATGTATACTCTCCCGTCTGGGCCCACTGGGCAATTTAGCTTAGGAAACCCTTAAAGACGTCAGCCCGCTAAGCAAAAAGCGAAAAGGGAATATTTCATGGTGTCTAATATATGCATGATGATAAGGTTCGGGTTTGTATATACGGAGGAATAAGATGGTGTAACAGATGAGCTACGGGCAGACGAGGTTGCTTTTTGAAACGATTTATTACGAATTGGGAATTGTTATGGTGCGCTTGGCTGAAGTGTAGGGCGAAATGCACTCCCGAAAAGCAGGTTAGTCGCTTAGACGGCGAATGTATATGCCGGCGGGGTAAATGCCTAGTAAAGGCCTCTGCGCATTTTCATTATCCTTGTTCGGGCTCCTTAGCCTCCTTCGGCAGCAATGGACGCAAGTGCAGGATCGCGTGCAGCGACCCAAGTGAGAGGTTCGCCCTGCACGAAGTATTATCTGTTGTCGATGGATCCGCAGACCAACGGCCTCTCGTACGCGTTCAGTACGGCAGGAAGCCGGCATGCATAAATCGAAGCCCTCGTAGTGCGGCGTACCGTCATGGCGGCAACACTGAACCACACAACCGCCAGCCACATGCGTCCCCTGCAGGCGGAGAAAGCAAAAGTCAGAGCTGTTCCCAGAGTAAACGAAGATTGTGGACCGATAACTACCGCTGTCCATTTCGAACTGGTGAATATGTCAACTTTACAATTACTACTGTCAGCCTATTAGCACGTGTCATTTACAGATTATAAAATGGATTTCGCAAACCATTCGTAAGTTTTCAGTATAAGCGTTAGGACTTAGGAGCTGCATGTTGGGATGGCAGGGATTTGAGACCTACCAGCCATCAGACTCGTAAACGTCGCTGATTGCTTTGAACACTCGGGATCGGCGTGCGTCCTTCGGGGCGCCATGCTGCGGCGTTGTTGCATCAGGTGGCATAGGCGCAACCTGCCGGCAATTGAAATAACAAAGCTACTAAGTAAATACATTCATGAAGAGTTACTATACGAAAAATTTATGGGCACCTACCTTTCCGCTCATTCCACCCACGAAAGCTTAGCAAACGCGCAATCAACGTCCTTATATCAAGTCTATGTTAATCAATAACGCATTGAACATCGGCCACCGCGTTTCAGAACGCGCTCTGGTAACTGGGGGGGTACAACCCTCCCCCCTCTCGGAGTGCCTATGCCCCGGAGTGGAAGTTGGCTAACGAACTACGGCGAGGTCAGGAGCACCAATTGAGTTAATTATTGCTTTTCTTGATAGCAGAATATTTGCGCAAAGCGGGCATAGTATGGTACATGGAAACTGTAACTGCCGGACAGAGGTCACACATTTACATAATGCTAAATGAACGGGCGACAGAGCCCACGAGCCTGCATAGCCAAAGAAACGTTATTGCTTTAACTAGTTTTAGCAAAGCTCTCGACGCGCTATCCGGCCGACAAAAGACCGGTCGTTCCTACAAAAGGTTTAGATTGTAAGGGGAAGAGGCCATTAGAAAAATACCGTTGCATGAAACCATGGCGACCATTACAATCGCAGGCTTTATTTCCGTTTGTAAGGCCCAGACGACCAGGAAGCTCAAGACCCGGGCGAGAGAAACAAAAAGAATAAAGTTAAAAACATAATCACAGAATAAACCATAACAATTACTTATAAAAACGAAAAACGTAACGTTCGAACATAGGAAAAGGTTAGGAGTGGCTTTATTAGGCCTAGCTCTCTCCTCAACAGCCTACTTGCAGCTATTGGCCGCCGTATCATATCGACTCTTAGCGAGACAGCTAGCGCTGGTTGTTCATCCATTTTGGCGTTGCGTTGCTAACCCCAGTTGCTATTCAACCACCGTCAACCAACTAAGCAAGGGAAGCTGGTCTCCTTCTTCTACTGTGTCATTTAAAATTGATGCTCGAGCAACTCGGTATATTTGGGACAACGGCTGGGTCTATATGTACATGTGCCCTTCGGTTAAGGGTTCAGGAGCTGGCACAGCCTGCGGTAGCAGATGAAGGAGCCGATACGGGCCGCTCAAGGGCGAAGTGCCAGTGCGGAACAGAGGTCGCGACCGGCAAATAAGGCGGGTACTGCGTGTCTGAACCACAGTACCCGCAGCCGAAATTCGGCTTAAGGGCCCGGCTGCGGGTCCCTAATGACCAAAATTGCACCAAAAAAGATAATTTGCAGCCCTTCTATTGCGGCTCGTAGGACCGCGTGCTGGACTTGAACACTGTGTTTAATTTTGAAAATTTTCAGGTTTACTGACCGAAATTATGCCTTCCCCAGCCGTAGAAACCGATTTGCCGACCTCTGTGCGAAATTGAGGCTAGGCTTAATTGCACGTTGGATTTGCACGGCAGAGGATGCTTCGCTGTATCTCCAGGGAGTGAACCTCCACGCGACAGGTGGTATAGGCGTACTGAAGTACAGGCGGAGGGTATAGTACAGGCATTAAAAGGCATGTCATTAACGGCAAGACATGTTGTGGGCCGCAGGAATAGGAATTACATCAATCGTGGTCAGGGTTAAGCGGACATGGTATGGCACAGTGCCGAAGACTGCAAAACTTTGTGGAAGCAACATGGATGGAAATAGTGTTACATCCCCTATTTACACTTCCAAATGCCTATCCAAAAGGCCTTCATGGTCTGCACGCACCATGTCGCAGAGTAAGAGTACCGAACGATTCTATATGGCGGTCGCCATACCAGATGTAACGTACAGCGCCGCCGAAACCCAGCTGAAACAAACGAAACGATATCCTAGGAAAAGGCGAGTCCGAATAGCCCTGACATAATCAAAATTAACTCGAAGGTGTGAAAAAAATCCTCGATGTCAGTCGCCTGTGACGCTTCATCAGAGGCAATAGCAGGCAACCTAGGCAACCAAAAGCCCCCGCACGCCTCATAAAACTAAATAAGACTAAATAACATAAATAATGTAGCAACCATGACATAGGCAACGCACACTATCAACATTCCAAACATTCACAAACTCTGTATCTCAGCCAGGGGAACAACGGACTGGACAGATATTATAATAGGCCTCCGGCAGATGACTATAATCTTAGCAATGGGGACATCCCCAAGCTGGATGAGCTCCTTCTGAAACTCGTGAGCATAGATGGTCTTGGGTACCAAGAAGATGAGAACAGGGACGGTTTTGCTTTCTTTGCCGTAATGGTCGTAACAATAAACGACCTAATGCAGCAACCGCAGGAAGATGGGTCACCTCTCCGACAAATGCTGGCGTGACAAGCGATGCAGTTACTGCGGTTATCTCATTCTGTTCAAACACACTATCACTCCTAGGGTGTATTTCCAGTGCGGATTTAGGCCAGGGATTAACCCTCTGTCTTCCATCGATACTTGCTCAAACGGCTAAGTTGATGGCAAACTTACCTCGCCTTTTTGGGCCCCGCCCTGGGCGAAGCGCCCAGGGGGGCCCCGACCTGTAGGATTGCCCATGTCCGTGTGTGTGTGTGTGTGTGTGTGTGTGTGTGTGTGTAACGGACCAAACATAATATCTCGCCCGGCTGAAACGCGTTATAGGTACTATACAGCATTCTCTATTGCAAGGTATCTCGCATGTAGCCAACAAAAATCGTATGAGCACAAACAAGTTTGGCTGCCTCAATTGACCGAGGCCAAAGTCACATCAACGCCTCTCGCGCTAAATTTCATCTCAAAAGGTACCGCGTATCTCATATTTGAATTCTTAGATGGCGGCGTATGATAACTCGAACTCCCAGGCCTTGAGTGTGTAACGGACCAAACAGAATATTTCACCCGGCTGAAACGCGTTATCGGTACTATACAGCATTCTCTATTGCAAGGTATCTCGCATGTAGCTAACAAAGACCGTATGAGCACAAACAAGTTTAGCTGCCTCCATTCACCGACCTCAAAAGCCACATCAACGCCTCTCGCGCTAAATTTCATCCCAAAAGCTGCCGCGTATCTCACAATGGAATTCTGAGATGACGGCGTATGATAACTCGAACACCCAGCTTGTGTTACCATTTGCCGGCATGGGCAATCCGACTTGCCACCAGCAGGCCAACATAATTTGCTTTCATTTCTCTATGAAATACACAAGCTCCTTGTTTGTACATTTACTTTGGCCAATGCACGGGGCCTCCTGAGACTTGCGGTGTGCCCCGATGAACCCCCCGGCTGTGGGGCAGATTGCTTGAGGCCGCTGGCGCTTCGGGGATAAACATCACAGACAGCACCGAAATTCACCCAGCTTTCGTTACCATTTGCCCGCACGGGCATTCCGACTTGCGGTCTGCCGCACTGTCCATGCGGCATGCACCCGGAATGGATGCGATTCGCGTGGAGCCCGCAGGCGGTGCTGACGATTCCGCCAGTGCAAGCTTAGCTCTCACACCATCAGCACTGCTGCAACAAAGCATATCTCCCACCGCGTTGACACTACCCATCAATTGTCACCCTTGCCACCCTTGCTACCGGCCTGTACGGATGCAGAGGGGCCCCGCCCTTTTTCCGGCTTCCTTGAAGCCGACACCCAACTTGTCAACCTTTGGTTCCCTTATGGAACAAAACTATGTGGCGAGCTCGTACTTCCGTGCCCTAGTCCCTGGCCTTAATCCGCACTGGAAATGCACCCCTATTCTTGTTTCTCTAATATGATGTTATGTCCAAATGAAGCAGTGTCATTGTTATTTTTTAATAGTGACAGTATTATTTCAGTTAACAAGCATAATCAATGCGGACAATCTTGAGACTGTTACAAGATATCCGCCGATACAGTCAGATTATCACCAGACCTAAAGATCCGATGCTGCAGAGACCAATCAAGCATACAAGACATCACAACTAGACATATCCACACAGAGAGGACAACTAAATCAACTAAGGTTTTCTTCTTCTCGAAAAAGGCAAGGTCAGAATGCTCTTCATGCCCACAGGTAACAAAGCAAAACCAACGATCAAAAGAACAGCAAACAGGGACCGAAGCGGCCAGCTATCGGTAGCCGATATTCCGTGGAAAATTGCGTTTGCCACAAAAACACGGACCTATACAACCTTCAACATCACAACGAACTACTGGACATACAAAACATCTGAACAGGTGTCAGGATGCGATGTGCACGAGACGACCAAGTACTACATTTAAGCAGACGGGGTGAACTTGGTGGCGTAGGCGAAGGCGTTGACGGCGCTGGGGTTGGCGAGGTGGTCAGAGAGGTTCTCGATGGGGCCCTTGCCGGTCACAATGGCCTGCACGAAGAAGCCGAACATGGAGAACATGGCCAGGCGGCCGTTCTTGATCTCCTTGACCTTGAGCTCGGCGAAGGTGTCCGGGTCGTCAGCCAGGCCCAGCGGGTCGAAGGCGCCACCGGGGTGCAGCGGGTCCAGGCCCTCACCCAGCGGGCCGCCGTTGGCGCGGTAGGCCTCAGCCAGGCCCATCACGACAACCTGCGGGGATGAGGCGGACGGGGCATGTGCGATGAGGATAGTCGATAGCCTTCTCAACAAGCAGCGGCAATTCAAGGCACATCACCTACTTCCATCCTACCTGGAAGGCCAGGGTGGCAATGATGGACTGCGCGTGCACCAGGTTCTCATTGCCCAGGTAGTTCAGCCCGCCCTCAGCGAAGATCTGGGCGCCGGCCTTGAACCAGACAGCCTCGCCGAACGAGACACCCGCGTACTTGGACAGCAGCTCGGGGGTCACGCAGCCCAGAGCGCCCAACATGGCCCAGCGCGCATGGATGAGCTCCAGCTCGCGGTAGCGCTTGAAGGTCTCCGGGTCAGCGGACAGGCCGGCAGTGTCCCAGCCGTAGTCGCCGGGGAACTCGCCAGTCAGGTAGGCAGGGGTATCGCCCTCAGAGAAGGGGCCTGAGGGAGCGAAGGAAAGAAAAGAGACAAATCAGGTGCTCTCTATGTGGAAGGAGCAAATAATGGAGGAAATGGACACTTAGATGGACAACGTTATATGGAAATCCAACCATGCTATCTACGTTTCTAAGTGCTCTCCCGCCACTACGTTTCCAAGTGCACTCCCCACCTCACCCAGGAACTTGGGCCGGTCAGGGCCATACCACTCAATGGCAGCGCGAGGCACCACGCGAGCAGCCTGCATCAAGAGGAAAGAAAAGAAGAAATCAAACACTGGGAATTGTTGGGAGGAGATAGGTGTTGCGCGTGTAAGCTGTTGGCCATTCCGGTTTCCATAAACCTGAGCAGCACGACTCATTCAAAAAATTCACCATTCCTTAGATATCTTCTATATATTGCTATTAGGCAGGTATGTATCCGTCCGGACGGTGGAAAGTAGGACTCACTCGGCTGGCCACCGTAGCGGGGCGCACAGAGCTGCGGAGAGCAGACTTTGCCACAACAGCCATTTTAATGGTATAAGGAATGACACAAAGAGGACAGAGGATAGAACTACTGTCACTGTGTAAAGATCAATGGATTTGCAACTGGCTTTAAAGTGCTGAGTGGCCTTACGCAAGGCCCAGAATCGTACGGAAACTTGATCGCAACTGCTCCACTCTGCCCGTCTGCTCCCTGCCTGCTCGTTACGCAGATTTTGGGCAAATCAGCAAAGTGGTATTCTGGCTGCCACTGTGCTTGCGATGCTATTGTAAGTCAAGGGACGCGACACTTGGATTACTCTCTCGAAGACTTCGTCTGGCCAGAGATCCGAAAAATCATCTTTATTTTAAAACCGCGTTATGGTAGTGCAGATCTTAGACTTAAGCGACATGCTGTGCCCTTGTTTTGACATTGTACCGGTAAACCGCGCGGAACAGCGCGGCCTCACGGCTTCATAGGCAGGATAGCCATTAATATTTTATGCCAAGTATCATACATCATCACTCTAATCCCGGACGCACAGTTCATTGCAAGGAGCCTTTTGGTCAACCGACCTGAGCAGTGTTTCAAATAGCATTCTCTGTTGAATGCTATACGCTGTAATAAAAGATAATATGTCCCTCTTAAATATATTTAAATATCCTCATATTTGGGGCAGCACTCCGGATGCTGACTAGAATGGCAAATATACATGGTGCGCCGTTGTAAGGCGATAACGAGTTTTGTAACCTTAACCAGGTTGTAGGAAATCAACAAACACATTGAGTGCAGGAAGGCTTGTAAAACCCGGTTTAAGGGCGCGTTAATAGGTTGTGCTGCAATCGTGGGCGTTGCCACCACCCTCCACCCTCCAGAGCACAGCACTCGCAAATCCGAATGCAATTTAAACACTATTACAATTAGCTTGCTGTTCTCCAATCACCAGCGAGTTGACAGGAAGTACGCCATTCTCTTGGTGTCCACACACGACCGGGGATGATGGTCATTAGCGCAAGGGTAAAGTGCTAAGCAGCCGCTTAGGATGAACCATAAAAGACTTTACTTGGAGCGGCGAGGTACGTGCTGCGCAAATGTAGCAGCACGTACATCATTACATCCAAACGCATACACAGAGAGGCTTCCCCCGCGGCTATCTTACATCAGGCGGCCAGGTAATCCCCTTCCTCCTCATTAACATCATACCGCACTCTGCAATCATGGTCCTAAGATCCATAAGGATCCAATGAAACGCAGGGTAACCTGTGGCGGACACAAACGAAGGTTCAGCAAATTGCTGCCGGTAGTCATCGTCGTCGTAGCAGTAGTAGAATTAGTAGTCGTAGTGATGCTGACCGCATAACCCAAATTGTATTGGCCGCAAAATGTCCTAACGGGTACCAAGGCCCTGAGCACCCGGTATACTTCTGAACGACGTAGGAACGGAATGCAAACGCGATGAAGCCTTGCAGTACAAGGCCAAAGAAGGAAATCGGGTCGCGATGTTGTTCAGAGAGCAGAGAGATTCACTTTTCCTCAAGTTTGCGCAATAGAAGACTGCTTAAAGGACAGAGAGCGATGAACCACCTCTCTGACAGAGAGGGGATATCCCCCCCTCGCAATACCATCCCTCAGTTTTCCCAGAACGATTCAACCCCCAGACATATCTATGATTTCGCTGAATTCCCAAGTCTAGTCCGCTTTGCCCAACCGTGTGTCCGTTTCTCGTTCGTTGACCTGAAGGAGCCGCTTCTTCCCTTCCACTCCCGAGTCAACCCGGTTGCTTTCGCTTTTCTCGGAAGGTACGATCAACAACGTCGCTTTAAGCGCATTCAGATGTGCGTCTGTGCCACCAGAGAGAACGAGTGAGAGAGAACGAGGGGGAGTGTGTGTGGGTATGTATGTGTGGGTTTTTCCATATGAACAGCTTAACACACAGGGGGTCAGGCCAGCAGCGATTCACCCCTCATTCGCCAACACCCCCAAGCGACCTTCTGCTTGGATTTCGGTTCATCCACATCATCCAACCTACCTAACCGTCAGTCACCGCGCCGCGCCGTTCCGAGCCATGATGCCGTACCATGCCGTTTTCCTTCCCGCACACTGACATCAACGCACGAGTAGCAGAGATGCTGCAAACACCTCTTTTTTTCTTAAAATCCTCAAATCGCATCACACCAGCAATTCTCCTCAACAAGTATTGCTTTGGCGAACCTACGCAGCGAAAAAAACCCTATATACCAGTAGCACACGTACCGCGCCTTCCGCCTGCTTGCTCAAACGACAAGTTGGGTGTCGGCTTCAAGGAAGCCGGAAAAAGGGCGGGGCCCCCCTGCATCCGTACAGGCCGGTAGCAAGGGTGGCAAGTGTGACAATTGATGGGTAGTGTCAACGCGGTGAGAGATGTGCTTTGTTGCAGCAGTGCTGATGGTGTGAGAGCTAAGCTTGCACCGGCGGAATCGTCAGCACCGCCTGCGGGCTCCACGCGAATCGCATCCATTCCGGGTGCATGCTGCATGGACAGTGCGGCAGACCGCAAGTCGGAATGCCCGTGCGGGCAAATGGTAACGAAAGCTGGGTGAATTTCGGTGCTGTCTGTGATGTTTATCCCCGAAGCGCCAGCGGCCTCAGCAATCCGCCCCACAGCCGCAGGCTTCATCGGGGCACACCGCAAGTCTCAGGATCCTGAGACTTGTACATTTACTTTGGCCAATGCACGGGGCCTCCGGAGGCCCC